CTACACTTATTAGCCAAATGTATTTAAATAAATTGTTAATCTACTGATTCTATTATTTTATCTCAGTCATATAAAACCAGAATAGAATGTCCCAACATTTAATTACTATTTATTTTGTGTGTACTATGTTTTGATTCTAATAAATGTCTTTTAGTTTCTTTAGGTGTCATCTTCATCTCTGAAACATTAATCAGGATCAACTATGCCTTTTGTTGCCTCAAATAAAAATGATGTGCCTAAAATAGCTGATAGTAAAAATAAAATTGTAAAAGCAACTAAAGCACCACTTGGTCCAGAAAGCTGGGTCCTTTTTCTCATTTCATCAGTGAGATTCTTCTGCCCTCAGATCCATATGCAAAAAATTTTCAGACCAAGTTTTCCATAATGATGGGCAGAAATAGATCGTTTCACTCCTTTCCTTACAGAAATACCCCAACTTCTTTTACAGAGCAACCCAACATTTAAGGTCTTCATATAAAAAAGCTCAAATGAACAAAATTCATCCTTTTCTAAGGGTAAGTGCAAGGGCTTGCATTAACAGTTCAGGATTTGGTACTAAAGGAGCTTGTTAATTGTAGGACACTTGGCCTACTTCCTGCAGAAGCTGAAAGGTGCCACCTGTGCACACTGGTATGAAGGAAGGGAAATGCTTTCTTTTACCATTTAAAAAGCTCTTAAGGGTATATTTGGGATGGATGTAAGGAGGAAATTTTTATAACAAAGGTGGTAAAATACCGGAACAGATTGTCCAGAGAATTTATAGATGTCCCATTGCTGGAAGTCCTCAAAGTCAGTTTGGATGGGACTTTGAGTAACTTATCTAGTGAAAGATGTCCCTGCCTGTGGCAGGCAGGTTGGACTACGTGATCTTTACAGTCCCTTCCCACTCAAATCATTCTATGATATGAGTCCTCTTCTCTTTCTTATTTTTTTTCTTTGTTTTCTATTTTTAGTTCATTTTTTTGCAGCCTGGCAGTGCCAAACTAAGGTCTAGGTTCCTGTACACAAATCCCCTCAATTTAAACAGAGTATGTTAAACACGATTTTTGGATCACAGGCAAAATGATACAGTTGAACAAAGTCTGATTTTAAATTCTCAAACACCCCACAGTACTAAGTGTTACAGATCCTGCATTTAACATTCAGATTTAAGCAGCATGCAGTAATCATGGCTTAGAACCACATATTTAAAATGGAGCAGCAAGAAAAACAGGAAAAACACCAGTATGGAGTACTTCTTGCAGCTTCACATTGCTTTAGGCAGAGTTGAAAACCTGAGAACTTGCAATCATTACAATATTGAAAAGGTTTTCACAGTATTTCAAACATTCATTACAGTTCTTTGCACCCATTTTACGGATACCTAAGACTGCATACATTCAAGACTAAAGGATTAGCACTGTGAGTTTAGCCCAAAGTATATGCATACCTATTAAAGGTAAGTATATTAAAGGTGGTGAATAAACCTCTCAGGCAGGGCACTGCACAACAGCATTTTCCAACCACACTGAAAGATCACGCAGGAATTGATGATATTATTTCACAAACAAGTTTTTAAAATACAGGGTTGAATTAAGCAAAAATAAGACTTTATTTCATAAGTAATTTTCTCACTTATTTTTATACTTAGCAGTGTGTCCAATATAATTACTCATAAAAAATTGCCATATGATTGAATTTTTCTCTTTATCTGAAAAGCAGTACCAGCGCCTGATGTTCTACTGATTAGAATCTGGCTCAATGTCTGTAATGGAATTTTACACACACACACAGAATCCTATGTTGATTCTGAGAGAATGGTTTCAGAAAGAGTAAACATTTCCATACCTGCTCTAAACTGAGATTGAAGAGGAAAACAAGAAAATCATACTTTCATGTATACAAAAATGAAACATGCTGAATTTCAGTGAGACTTTAAGAAAGTGTTGTGAGATTCGAGGGGGAGATTACACAGGATATGAAAATAACCTTTTCTGCAGAGTTAAAGAAGAGTTTATGCAACTTTTCCTATGAATATAATTTCTTTTTCTACTACATTTTTAAGATAAATGAAAACTGATGCCAGATTATTCATAGGCAGTCTTAAAAACCACAGCAGCATTGGAAAAGACATAGTGGTAGAAATAAGGCAAAAAACTTGACTAATGTAAACTTCCCAAGTGGTTCTGACACAAGAGGACGACTTACAGCCTAGTGAAATGAATGCAGAAATTAATAATTATTTATTTAGCAAATAAATTGCTTTTCCTGCAAATACTTATAAAAAAGTAAATCAAAGACTGAGCAATAATAACTTCCTAAATCCTTGGAGCTTTCTGTTAGGATTCTTAAGATAACATGGTCTGAATAAACTCATTAATTACAGATTACAGTGAAAACACCTGCAACTACTGATATAGAATTTATGTCACATCCCCAAAACAGATCTTCTCTTTCACATTCAAAGTTAAAATATAAAATCAACTACAGTAATGAAAATACCCTGGATTTGCAAACAATATTATAATAACTCTCAAAACATGACTACTGCCTAGGATTAAAGGCAAGTTTAATTAGAATAAATTTCAGAATATTCAATTCTCAGAATAAAATAATTAGTGAGCAGGCCACATATTTCTTTCCTACTCTGTCAGGTATAATTGAACTGTAGATGAGTGACTAAAATATAAGGAAATTAACATGGAAGTTTGTAAGATGCTGTGTGACAGCAAAGAAGATGCTCAAAATTCAAAGTACTAACAAACATCAGCACATGGCAGATGTAATGGACCATACGTGGTAGACGAAGAGAGGAAAAAGCATCAAAGCCCAGCATCAACAGAATACACAAAGAAGTAATGGAGACTAATATTTTCAACTAACGGGTAGCAAAGAAAAGGGAAAAGGCTCAAGATACACATACAAGTAAAGATGAGAATATGTGATCAGATGCATAAAATTTGATTAAAATGCATTTAAGAGGAGCAGTAGCTTGAACTAAGTCTCTATCTGGATTCCACCAGTGCACTGGTCCTTCAATCTACTACAACTATCTACTAAAGATAGTTTTTATCTACTAAAACTATCTACTACAACTCTGAAAAAAAATTAAAAATGACAAACAAATGCTGACTCAAACTGCACCATTGGGAAGGGCTGTGCAAGTCTGGAAGGAAGTCTATTGAAAGAATGCAAAATGGAATTGGAAGGCTGGGATAAACAAATAAAAAAAGACGAAAATTACAGCTGCTATATCATCTCAAGGTATATTAACACAGGATGAAGCCCTTGGTGTCATTATATCCTTATTACAGTAATGCTGAGAGTTTTGGAGTTCTCTGTTTGAAATTGGACACCCAGAACACTTGTACACTTAATTCAAAATGGTGAATGTCTGAAAATAGCTGGAAAATTTCAGCCTTTCATTTTATAAGGCTATCTTACATTATTATGCACAGCCTTTCATTGCAAGAGCAGATAAGCTAAAAAACAGTTCTCAACATGTCTAAAACATTTTATCAAAAAAAGGCATGAAGTAAATCTTAACAGAACAGTTGCTGTTTAGACATTTATTTTAAAATCATTTTTATTCACTATCACATCCTTGCCAAAGAGCAGACCACTTCCTCTAACACATCAAGCTTTTTACAATGTGCTAAAGAATGAATTATAACCTGTAAGTCCTTTTCAGTTCTACCCCAAGTTCAGCATCTTGAGACATCCCCCAACTCTGAAACCTATTGCTGGGCCACTAACTGGCTCAGCCTTGCCCTGCACCATCTTCCAAACTATCCTTCCTCCCAGCTTCAACTTCTTCATTGGCTATACAGAAAAATGGACTACTTTCTAACCACTTCTGTCATGTTCTCACACATCTAAAATATTATCTTGGGAATGTTCATATTCTAGGTTCACCTGCAGACCTATCCCGGTCTTTTCACAAGTGTTTTTGTGAGAATTCCTTAATTTCAAATTTCACAGCACTGATCAGACCATAATATGGGAAAACTCACACAGAGTTTTTTGGTTTCTATACAAATTTCTATTTCTACACACCGAGTCCATAATTTCACAAGACACAGCACAACAGGAAAACCATTTCCCTATCTCTCTCTTTTTTGTTGTGCAATATAATTTATTGTAGATAAAACCAAGGTAGGACATAAATCACATCTTTTTCTATTTGAGGAAAAAGTTATTCACTACCAAAGAATAGTAGGTAAAATGAACAAATAACATACCAAAACTAAAGCTAATTTTGAAAAAAAAAAATATTTGGTAGGCTGAAATATGAAGGAAGACCTTTCATAAGGCATAGAAGTTTAACATCCAGTCTTTTTGATTCATTGCGCAGGTCAGAAGTTAAAGCAAAATGAAAACACAGTATCATTTAGTAACTGTAACAAGTTCATTCACTAGCCCTAGGCTGCTGAGGAACAGGGAACTGTCCTCTAGTTTGTAACTGGACTTGTCCCTTAGGAAATTAGAACTCCACCTACAGATCTGCACTGAGGCTGTAGGAACTAAACATGCCTGGGAGATCACTGCAGACTGTGAGAGCTGAGCCTGTCTGCATGGAAAGCTTCTGCTCCTTTGGAAGAGAACAGGCAGGTCCTTACCAAAACCTTCTGCATGGTAACTAAAAATCTGAAGACGCATTTCTCAGGGTGCTAACTTACAAAGTACTGATTAAAAGAACTACCTTGGACATATGGAGATAAAGATAGCAGTGCCTAGTTTTATCAAGTGCTGCCAGGAAGATTTTTAGCACCAGGGGTTTTTCATTTTATCTTCTAATTTTTTTTCCCTTGTTGAAAAAGGGTGAATATTTTCCAGTTCAGTTTCTCTCTTGTGCTCAGGCAGTAGATTTCAACCTTTAAAACAGCAAAGCTGGTTTAGGAGGAAATTGTTTCTAGAAGGTTTAGAAGTTCACAGCTTTTGAAACTTAAAATTACTTTCCTTGTACCTGCATTAAAAGGCATATTATGAACATAATACAGAGAACAAAGCACACAGCTCACCTCATAGTAACTTCGCACAGCATTGCAAAATGCTTCATCTGCTACAATTTGAGTCTCCCCATTCAAAAAGGCCTGGAAACGTTCCTTCAGTACGTGCAGCTGCTGCTTGTTGAGCTGTGCAAGAAAGAAACAAGGAGAGGGGAGAGAACAAAAATAAATCCAGTTAGTCGCCATGTAAAAATACACAGCACTGCACACACTTGGAACCTGTGAACCAGGAAAAAGAGACAGAGGCTCCCTGGCCACCTGGCTCCCTGGTGAGTGGCAGCTCTTTGGAGTCTCAGCTGGACAAGCCATGCTGTGGTCCCCAGACATGCACGCAAGAAACTTCTGCTCTTTCCCTGGTGCCCTAGGGATTCCAGAGGTAGGTCTGCATGGATACTTCTGTGCAGTATTTTATATGCATATGCTAAATATAACGGTTGATCTTCTCCATGGCAGCAGCAGCAGCAGTTGTTAATAAAACTTAGCTCTTAGCTTGTCCTCAAATACATCATTTTCTCTTCAGCCTTCAAATAACTGAACATAAACAACTGAGATTCCTCCAGTTTTGGAGTAAACTAGGCAGTACCATTAGAGTGCTTCAACAAGCATGTGCACTGTGAAGAAAATGGAGTTCTAGCTACTGATGCTACAACACTATGAACGACATGAAATAACTGGATCTTAGGGAAGAGCAGACAAAGGCTCCAAGATTGACATCCAAAAACATTTGGTGGGCTTCATATCATAGCTGAGTACATTTTGAAAACAAAGTCCTATAAGAGCACATTACACAATTAAACCTTGCAATCAACCCATTTTTATCAAAGTTTAATTTTTAGGGAAAAAGCAAAGTTTGGAAGCTCTCCAGTGATCCAGACACAGGTCTTTTGTCAAGGTTTCTATCAACTCTTGAATTATTTCTAGTAGGATATTTCTCCTTATCAAATCTGTGAGAAGTTTGAACATCACATCATACTATTGAACTTTAAATTTAACACTAAAAAAAAAATTCAAACACAAATGACAGGTTTTTTCATCCCTACTGTATTTTGCTTTAGTAAAACAAACAAACAAACATATAGCCAGAAAGTGTAAATATTTTTCCAGAGGGCAGAAGGTGGTATTTGTAATGGTTAACCTGCAGCAAATAACATAGCTCCCTTTGGCTTAATCATTTCTTACTGAATAATTTTTTGGCATCTACAGTAAATACGGTGGCCTTAGGCTTTCACGTCTCTTATATCAACACTTCAAATTAATTTAAGCTACAACACTGTTAAAAAATTAGCAAAATCTCTGCTATCCTGATAATGGGCCTACCGTGGACAACTTCTATTTTCTTAATATCACAGGAAGATTTTCATCCCACACAAAGTTCGCTAAGTTTGCAAATTCATGTGCTTCTTTGAAAAATGTAACAATTTTCTGCAAAACTCTACAAATTGATTGCAGACCTGAAAGCTGTTTTACTTTGACAGTAAACAATAGTATAGATACCATCTATATACCAGGTATCAGAAATCCTCTAAAAAAATAATGAAATGTAGGCAGTAGTGATGTAAAGCCAAAAAGCCTCTGAAAGAAAATCCAGGCTAGTTAAAAATGATAATTCTATTCCTCATCTTAAGAGAACAATTAATGATACAGAACAAGCCCTAGGAGACCCCTATGGAAAAAAAGGCCTCCTGTAGAGGAAGCAAACTTCAACAGAGGTTGCTGTGACTTGGATAAATTTCCTGCATGAATTCCTGAGAGCAGCAGCCTGACATTGATACCCTATCCTATACCACTGCTAATTAAAAATCAATGGGAGAAGTATTCATATTGTGTCTGCACATCCACTCAAAACTGCACCTATCTACCTGCCTGCCAAACACCCACTCCTTGCACAGAATTTTCACAACACTTGATAGCTCTTTCTAACAGAAATCAAATCTCATTCCATTGATGTGATTCCTCTTATTCTTCTCTTATTTTCTAAATATTTTGGACAAGTTGAGACACCAGAAAATGCAAATCATTATGGATCGTTTGAGGGATTTTTTCCAGCACACATGTTCTTTTGCGGGACTTAGAATAGAAATGAGCACTCACACGGACAGTGCTCCTCTGCTGAGCGAGCAGCTCCTTCATCCCATGGAATATTCACAGCTCTGCTATGAGAACATGCAGGCTTCCTGCCAAGGCAATTATGAAAATGTGTTTTCATGCTTGCAGACTTCATTCTTTAGGTGACTTGCTTCTCTAATACCCACATAGCAAACAAAAACATTATGAATAAGGCAATGAAATACAAATTTAATTCTGACTTTCTCATTTCTAACCATCAAAGTTCAGCAAACTGAAATGCCTTTAAAATATTTATATATGGCTATATATTTATATATAGTGAATATTTATATATTCATTACTTTAGGTAGTAAGAATTTCTAAGGGTTGAGTGGCATTTTAGGATTACTGTATTTTCTTAAATTACTTTTATTTCAAAGTAATAAATAAAGCAAAATAAAGCAAGATCTGTAGTTACAAAACAAAGTTCTGCAAAGCTAAAAAATAATAGTATTTCCAATGGAAAATATGAAAAGCTACAACTTGCACTAAGGATGATCTGAAGTCTATTTACAAGTCCCAAGTACTGTCAAATATAGTGATGCAGTTAACTGTCAAGATACAGAATAATTTATAGTAGTCTACTGCAGCATACAGCTCCTCTGAGTTTTTTACTTGTCATATTGAGAGCACAGTGAATTCTCTCTCTCATCTCTTTTTTTTATGTCGGTCATTTTTAATGAATTCATTAACACTCTACAATTGAAGCACTTAAAAATGAAACAAAGCTAACAGCAAAAGTAATAGCCTGGAAATGTGTAGAGAAAAAGAAAGACTATTTGCATTGGAATTGTGTTGTAGCAAAAGCAGAGAAATAGGTGTTTTTACAGGACATTAGTTCTCAGATAAGGCCAAGCATCTCAGCCTGTCAAAGTCTGAGCTACCTTTGAAGTTGGCCAACATGGAGCAAGAGAAAACATTAAGTAGAACCAGAATCCCAAGAGGAGTGTTTAAACTTAAGGGCAATAAGCCTGGGCAGATTCTCTCTGGTAGGAGCTCCCATAATGGAGCTCAAAGTCCTTTGCAGGAGCACTTCCTTTCCATCGCACCAGCCCTTTCCTCCTCTGCTCTGTGCAAGATCCATACACATCAGACCTTCGCTTTCAGCCACTCGCATCTTCATTGGCAGCACCTCTGTTTCCACATTTTAATTTTAGTAGGAAGAACCACAAATAGGAAATTTAAATTAAAACAAACAAACAACACATGTTGTACATACACATATGTACCTCCAAATGTAAACTAAACTCAGAATACCACCAAAAGTATATAGCAAAGCCTCATTGATTCTGTTGCTTCCCATTAACCTGCTTCAGTTTTGTATTGCTTCTTTGGATTTCGCATTCTCAGTGATGAGAATTCTCAGGTATAGAATCTGTTGTCATAACTGTGTGATACTTCATAAACAACTACTGCTGCTTCATGGGAGAATGTACACTGTAACTAAATTCCAGTGATTCAGAATATCAGAATTGATTGCATTCTGCAAAATGACTGAAGAGAAGTAAAGACAAATTTCAGGGAAAACAAGATCAACTGCCCTCAGATTTGTTTTCTTCTTTATTGCAGTCACACAACAGATAAAAACTTTTCTTCCCTTCCATCCCTGTGTCTTTCACAAAAGGTAACTTTTTCACTTCACATTTCCTAACCTTAGTAAGCTATCAAATAATGAAAATATTTAAGACAGAGTAAACTTCTCAAATAGCTACTTAATTAAATGAAGAATAACTTTTTCAAGTTGCAGTGGCAATTTAACCAGAGTAATATAAAAGCATGAAAGAGCCTGAAGCACTTAACCACTAAAAAACTTTCTCACCTTGCATTTTAACATTTCAAAGAAGTCAAATACCCAGATCTATTCCTCTTTGAACATTAATTTAAAGATTTGCTTTTTTCCTTCTAAAGTGAAAGCTGGGTATGAAAAGCTAGAGGCACTTCTGGTTTAGCTCCACTCATACCTTTAAACAATTTCAATAAATGGATTTTACACAGAGCTAAATTCTTGTTTTCATAAGAAGTTGCATTTCAAATAGATGTTGAAGTTTAGGGAGTTATTCCAATGTCATAAGTTTTGCTTCCTTAAATAATAAACTCGAAGGAGAAATGAAGCATGTACGGATTTTTAAGAGTAACACTGCTTATTTCTCTTTGAAAGACAGAAGGGAAAAATAAAACTGTAGCTTCGCTGCGCTTCATGCTTCATTAAGAGCATCTTCATCTACTTCTCACTGTGTAAGTGCACAGAGCCCAAACTACTGCCCTGATCACAGGCAGCCAACAGCAGCTGGCAAAGACATAACTCACAGCACCATTGCCCCTACTAAACTTCGGCCGTAAAAATGAACGAATTTAACAGGTGGCCTGTGCGTGGGCCACAAGCAGGCTGCCGGCAGAGCCCCACAGAGCCCCGGAGAGCCCCACAGAGCCATGCACAACCCCATAGAGCCCCTCACAGCCCCACAGAGCC